AATACATGATTGGCTACTTTTTGCTTCTACCGGTACTATTTCAATAATAATGATAATCATAATTATCACAGTGCCTAACATACGTATACTGAGCACATACCGTATAATAGATTTTTCTAAGCACTCTTCATGTAACAGCTGACTTAGTATTTACAGCTCGATGAAGTAGATAATAATAACAATCATACCCTGGCACCAGATGAGGAAATAATCTGCCCAGGGTCACATATAGTGAGCGGTGGATCCAGAAATGGCTACAATAAATTGTGAAACTTTTACGGGCTGTTCATCCCGATTTCTCTCCCAATCAGATAATCTTAGACTTTTAAGTAAAATGCTTTAAAAAATCATGATGTTTGCATATCTTACTCTAAATCTGTGGACGTTTTATTAGATGATCAGTATTTACCACCTTAAAAAGCATCATTAAATTCACACATCTAATTCTTTATCTGGTACAACATGAATTTACTTTATCAGCTGTTTGATATAAACATGCATTTTACCCCAAATACTCCAAAAGTTGCACTGAGATGACAAAAAACATGTAAATATAACGGGAAAAGAATTCCGTAGTGTGGTTGAAGGCAGGGAGGTGGCTGGAGGTTGAAGGATTGAGGGAACCACAGTAGGAAGCATACTACTATAGATTCAGATTGACAATGATCTCTTTTTGAACTGGGGAGCCCACGTCCCCCATAGAAGCAAAATAGAGGATTCCATAGAGAAAATTGTTCTGAAGGCACCAAAATTAGAAGCAGAAGGGAGCCCAGGGCCAATAGCCTATAAATTAACCAACATTTGTGGAATTTTGTAGCTGTGTCCAGTCTTCACCTCCAGAATAAAGATGTGAATACAAGCATTTCAGAGTTAAGTTTAGAGATATTCCCAGAGCAGGCAGCAGGCTTGAGGGCAGTTGGTGGCTGGGAGTTGGCGGCCATCATGAGGAATTAGGAGACCCTTCTCTCTCAGGAGTTATGTGAAGTGCACACCCACTAGGAGAGTCTGGTCAGACATGAGTCCCCCTCTTTCTGGCCAACACAAGTCTACTTCAACCAGGGCTCCTTTCAAGAGAATCTTACATAGACCACCAGCTCAACCATGATTCTCACTGAGACTGGGAAATCCATTGCAGCCACAAATACTAACCAATCTAGTGTTGTACTGTGCTTACAAGTATGAAAATATGGCCAGGAATTCGCAAACACTTGAAGAAATTCACCTAAAAGAAGGAAGGGTAGCACTTCGCTCAAGGAATTGAGTTAATACATGGTACAAAACAAAGAAATGAATATAATTATTATTTTCATTTCATAAAAACAGGCTAATGACAAAAGGCAAAGTTCTTGGAAATTAGATACATTAAAACGAAAACGTCAGTAGATGAGTTGACTAGCAATGAACACCAAACTGCCTGTGTAGGAAGAAGGGAAAGATGGAAATATTAGGGGGAGAAAAATGTATGGTTAACGTGACCAAATAGTGGCCCCTTAAAGCCATACACTCTTCTCAGTAAGTGGCAATGAAAACCCTGTAGCAAACAAGATTTTAAGTATCGAGAGACAGAAGTACATTTAATTAAATATTTGCTTCATTACACGTGTTACCCCCTCAGTTTTCATGATCTAGTTTAATTGGAACGATGGCTTTACTTTGTAGATTGTTGAAATGTTTGCTTATGTGTATTTTATATTAAAATATATTAAAAGTTTATGCAATACAAAAGGATTCTTAAACTAGTTGAAATCTGTGATTGATATAATATTTAGGAATTTTTGAATCGACCTTGAAGTCATGTGTTTTAAACTAGTACTCATTTGTAAACAACCGAATTCTTTTTCTCTTAAATTTATCTAGGGTTTGGAAACATCTCACCACGCACAGAAGGGGGGAAAATATTCTGTATCATCTATGCCTTACTGGGAATTCCCCTCTTTGGTTTCCTGTTGGCTGGAGTTGGAGATCAGCTAGGGACTATATTTGGAAAAGGAATTGCAAAAGTGGAAGATACGTTTATTGTAAGTATGATAGCCTTCTAACTACATGTGGTTATTGTTTAATGTATTAAAATATTACACTTTTTCCATTACCTCAGAGCAGCTATACATTCACTATTGGATTTTTCATAACAATTTATATGTACTCCTATTAGCATGTAACTCGCTGTATAGTTATTTTTATACTTATCTGAATGAATAAATTAATGCATGAGAAAACTCTTAAAATATGCATTAAATAGAAATCTGACAGCCCTAGTTCAAATTCCAGATATATTGTCACCTAGCTATATTTTGCAATTTATTTAATGTGAATAGAACTACTGACAATGAAACATTACGCTGAGAGTTAGAGATAATATAGGTTAAAGTTGAACAGAACTAGTAAAGACTGGCAATATTTTATTATTTAAAAATTGTTTTGGTACCCTTGTTCAGTGCTGGTGTCACTGCAAACATATAACCCTTCTATGAAGGATATAGAAATATATGACAAACACAATAAAGATGACCATACAACTTAATTTAGTAATGTCATTGATAGAAATCTATCAAAGTGATATAATTCAGTAGAACCAACAGTAATATATATAGAGATGTTCATGGCCACATTACATTCAATAGAAAAAAATAAAATGAAAATGCTTCTGTTACAATTTTAAGTAAAAAACAATAACATCATGAGTACAAACTTCTATTCTTGAAGAAAATTCTGGATAAAGAAAATGATTATGTTAGAGGATGGGGTTATAAATGATTTATTACTACTGTCACCACTATTCCAAATACATTTTAGTTATTATTGAATGACATTTTCATATTTTCACAAAATTGTCAGAGCATTTTACATTTAACTCTATGGATGAAATAAGACTCTTGAGTATGGTTTTTCAATTTAAATCATAGTTCTAGTTTTTATCATTATTATGTTTCATATTTAAGTTCAAAGTTCACTCTCAAATATTTTTACTGTTAGAGTGGAGTAGGTGTGGTTATTCCCAAACAGAAGTTTTATCCTTTTTATGGTATTATACTTTTCTTATATTGATATAAAAATATCTTGTATTTATATTAATTGAGAGGTAGGATTAGAGGCGTGAACTTGATAGTACTGAATTGTTCATTTATTCAACAGAGTTTCGAGCACCTACTGGCTGCTGGGCAGTCTCTTTTGTGCTGCATCTACATCAGTGCATAAGACAAATTCCGTGCCCTGTTAGGGGGCACATTCCAGTGGTCATGATTCAGCATTTAGCACTAAACACTTCTGAGAACTTTACAAATGTGAATTCACTTAGCTCTCAGGTGTGTGATAAGGACGGTGGACTAGCGAAACTTCTCTTTCTATTTTCCATTCTATTGTTCCATTGACCTTTTTTTTTTAAAAAATATATTTTTTTATTGATTTTTTTTACAGAGAGGAAGGGAGAGAGATAGAGAGTTAGAAACATCGATGAGAGAGAGACATCGATCAGCTGCCTCCTGCACATCTCCCACTGGGGATGTGCCCGCAACCCAGGTACATGCCCTTGACCGGAATCGAACCTGGGACCTTTCAGTCCGCAGGCCGACGCTCTATCCACTGAGCCAAACCGGTTTCGGCCCATTGACCTTTATTTCTAGAAAAATTTCAAGCTCTACAATTCAGTGATTCTTCTATGGTGGGGCTGTGACCTAGAAAGGACAGATTCAGTTAGAGATGAATAATTCACGGTGATTAATCTCAAAAAGAGACCTGGAGATAAACTGCTGTCTGTGCAGTCTTCATTTAATGTCACACTGTGGAGATTCCTGATAAGAGAAGGAGGTGGAAAAATATGGGTACTCTGATGGCAGCTGTAGCTTAGAGGTGTGGAAGATTTATCCTTATTTACATATCATCTTTGATATATTTAGTTTTATAGTTTAAGACCATAGGCAGAGAGATCGTTCATCAGGCTCATCTGGGAATTAAATGTGAACTGTAAGTCTCTGAACATCCACTTTAATCAACTGAATATTGATTGGAAATGTGATAGGAGTGAGAAGGAATAATTTGATCAGTAGTAAATATTTAATTCATAGTTCAGTTTTTTTCCATTTTCATATATTTCTAGATTGTGTTTACCCCACAATCAATTGTATGCCTATAGACTGGAAATATTTTAAGAGTAGTTCCGGTAAACAAAAGGACGATGTAAATCTGAAATTTGTATTTTAAGAGCAAATGTGATTTACTTGGGAGAGTAATTTACCTGTTGTAAGCTCTGTAAGACTAAAGTGGTATCATTATTAGTATTGGATGTTTTGAGCTAGTTATGTTATACCCAATTTTGACTTTACTTATAAAGACAATGGAAAATTAATCATAAAAGGGAATAAAATAAAATTCCCACTTGCTAATTTGCTGATAACAGTGTACATAAGTTAGCTTTGTGCGTATGCCAATAATCAATTAATCTCAGTCAATTTCTCTTTCTCTCTCACTCTCTTGCTCTCTTCCCTAGAAGTGGAATGTTAGTCAGACCAAGATTCGCATCATCTCAACAATCATATTTATACTGTTTGGCTGTGTGCTCTTCGTTGCTCTGCCTGCTATCATATTTAAGCACATAGAAGGCTGGAGTGCTCTGGACGCCATTTACTTTGTGGTTATCACTTTAACAACCATTGGATTTGGTGACTATGTTGCAGGTAAGTTTTTCTTGGCACCGCCACTGCTCTCCTAACCCGTGTCCCTTCTTTAGACTTTTCACTTGGGTTTGCAGTACAACACAGTGACTGTATTAGTTACTAAGGTTGCCATAACCAGGTACCACAAACTGGGTTGCTTTAAACAAAAGAAATCCATTCTCTCTTGGAAGTTCAAAATCAAGGTGCCAGCAGAGGCATGCTCCCTCCGAGACTCTGTCAGAATCCTTCCTTGCAGTCCTTGTTGCTTCTTGGCTTATAGCCCCATCACTCCCATCTCTGCTTCCATCATCCCATGGCTTTCTCCGTGTCTCGCTCACTGTGTCCGAAGCATGCCAGTCATATTGGATTAATGCTAGGCTAGCATGAGTTCATCATACTAATAACATCCCTAAGGACCTCATTTCCAAATAAGGTTGCATTCCAAAGTACTAGGGGTTAGGACTTCAACATATATTTTTTGGAAGACACATTGTAATCCATAACAATGACAAAGCCAAAAAAAAAAAAAAAAGCCATTCCATGACAGTGGAGGTAAGCAGATTGGTGCAGTTGGACATTTATTTTTTATTCTAAGAAAGAGATTTAATTACAGGTTATTCAGAATTTTATATTCCCACCCTATTTTCCAAACCCAAATATCTGCCTCTTAATTTTTCTTTTTTTTTTTAGAGGTACAAAAATTTGAGTTTAACTTATCTTTGCTCTTTTTTCTTAGACCTTTTCATATCTTAGTTTAAAAAACACCTGCAAAATGTAGATGTTCTTAGCTACTTAAGAACTTCTTTTCTCTAAGATATTTACCATCTTTAATTTTTAGTTATCGGGAAAATATTTTAGGCCTTTGTTAAAGTGTCCACTTTTTTATTCATTTTAAAATTTCTTCTTTTCCATATATGTTATTTCAATTGCTGTTTGCTTATTTATTTATTTATTTATTTATTTATTTATTTATTTATTTTTTGCTGCAAAAAGCTTTATTGTTCCATTTGGTCCAATGCCCGGGAGAGGGCTTCAGGGTGGTTAAAAGAATGGCTGGGGTTTCGGGGAGAGGCTCAGGCACAAGGCAGACACCAGGGGAGGCAGAGGGCCCCTCACAGGCCTCCGGGCTCCACAGGCCCCTAGTCGTGCTGGAGGCTGAGCCTTTCCTAGAGCCACTCGCCCGCCCAGCCTGGGGCCGCAGCCTGCGGAGGGAGCCAGGTGTGGCCCATCTTCTTGATGAGCTTCACCTCCTCACCCGGAAGTGGCTCTGCAGGACTTCAAAGCTGAGCGTCTGCGGGGGCAGAACCAGGGCACACAGCTCCAAGAAGGCCTTGAGGTCCACAGGGTTCTGGGTCAGGTTCCTCCCCAAGGCCAGGGCGGCCTCCCTGGCACCCCGAGTTCTGCCCACTCATCTGGGGAGGCCTCAGCGCATCCTGGGGGAGAGTGCGGCCACCGCGCTGGGTTTGCGCTCAGAGCCCTGGAGCTTCTTCTCTGCCAATTTGGGGAAGAAGCGGCCCACGCCCTGGAGAGCCACATCCTCAGGGTCCAAGTTGAAGCCCAGAGAGAGGTAGGTGTGGGCGGCCGCAGAGGCAGGGGTGCCAGGGGGCCAGGTGGTTGACCACAGCCTCCACGTTGGTGGGATAATTCTGACGTATTTGGGAGCTCATGGTTGTTCGGCATAAGGAGTTAAGGTAGAAAAGAAGCCGGTGTGTTGGCTGGTCTCCGAGGTGGTGCTGAGGGTGGAGACTGGATAAGACGCTGGAGGGTGGCCAAGGCTGGGAGAAGGGGTGTCCCTGGGTCTGTGATGTGCAAACACTGTGGAAGCAAGAGGCAGCTCCAGGAACGCCTTGCTTTTGCTTTATTGTTGTAGCTCTTAGGACTTACATTTCTGTCATTCCCACTCTCCTTTTTCCTGTTATATTATTTATTTATTATTGTTCTAACTCCAGGTTTAAGTAAAGTATAATTGTGGTAAAAGTAATATAAAGTGATCATGGATCATTTTGACCAGCTACTGAAAATCTAAACCATTCTTTTAAAAAAAATCAGTTGGAAGTATTAGAAAAACATGCTGAACATTATAGTAGGAATGTGCTGTTAAATTTTCCAGAGTAAACTCACCAGCCTAATTTAGTTTTAGGAGAGTTTTATACTTTCTGGCTATTTACTATTCTCTCTTGTTTTCTTGTTTTTTTAGTCTTAATCATTTTTATTTTACTTAATCGATAAATAAATACAAAAGAATGGTTGTGAAACCATTGGCAATATGGTAAACTTTAAAGCATTTATTCAACTTCGCTCATTTATTCTATTTCTTAGAATGAGAATATATACATTTTTTTCACAAATAAATGCTTAATGCTTTACAATTACCCTATTTGTAGAAACTTGAAAATCATTGCGATTAAATGAAAAAAAGTGCACAAAAAATTCTTTCTTTTAATCTTACGATTTAAAATATATTCAAAATAACATTTTTACAGCAGTCAAAACCTTTAACTAAAAATAAAGAACTGTAGTCTCATAAGTTTAACAAGTGGCCACATTCTAATTTAATTATTAACACCTGGAAAAAATACCATGGCTCCTAAACAAGGGAGACTAGCAGTTGGTACAGTTTTCCCTTCTGGGCACTCCTAGTTTTGTCCTTACTATTTTTATTTCATCTGTTCAAACACAGACAGTTGCTCCAACTTTAAACGTCTAAATGGACTTTGGGCATTTGATATCGGCGATGCTTGCTAAGACTTAAGACCTCCAACGATGAGAATCAGAAAATGTTCTTTCTTGACCCAAACTTCTCACTTAAATGTTTTCAGAAAGAGAACATGTTGTGTTTATAGAACATGTTGTGTTCTATAAAATCTCACAGAAGGCTGATAGTTCGTATGTTTTTTATTGATTGGCTAATTACAGTATCCTGGCAAAGCCTTCCTTCTTGGGGAACGTATATCTTTGAAGATGAGGATGTTTTCATGAGTGACACTTTGCTTTGGTCAAAAATACCGTGTACACATCTGTGGGTTGGATGGAGGCCCTGAGGCGGGAGGACACACTCCTGTGCTGGAGATCTTAGAGTTTTCTAACCAGGTTAATGTGGAGAGGAGAAGCTCAGACATTTGTACCTCCATATACTACACGCTTCTGTCCTAAAACACCCATTTTTCTACCTCTTATCAAAGCTATTTACTTGGCTTAAGCAGAAGTGGAAAGTGTATGAATACAGGAGAAAGTGAGACACACTGATGATAACAAAGCTTGCACTCATGGCATGTTAATCTTAGGCTCTTGTACCACTTTATAAACATAATTAACAAGGGCTCATAACTAGAATACATATGTATTAGGTGATATAGCTTCTATTTTTAGGCGAAAAACATTGTATTTTATTTTATTTTTAATGTTTATTTTTATAGTAATGCACCATTTTGTTTATTTTTCAGCTTTATTGAGATACAGTTAATACATAAAATTGTAAGATATTCTAAGTATACATCATGGCATTTTCATATACATAGACATTGTACTAGTAAAAGGATTCCCGCCTCCTAGTTAATTAATACATCCATCTCCTCACATATGTGTCCCTTATTTTTGGGGGGTGAGAACAATTAAGTTCTACACTCTTAGCAAATTCCAGTGCTATAATACAGTGTATGCGTTATTTTCAACAATCGGCAGACTGTGTCAATCTAGAATAGGGACCACATGGTCTGAGACTCTAAAGAAACAAAAATTATAAATAAAAGAAATGTGGGTGGAATCCTAAAATAATGTTGTATATTTGCAACCAGAGTACCAGAAAAAAAAAAAGGACAAATATTTTTACTTTATGGTTTTGTAGAAGATGAAAAACAATTTTTTTTAACTTACTTTAAGAAATCAACACTCTGAACCTGGCTAGCTCATGTGGGCTTGTTAATATTCAGTCTCAACTGCCTGCAGGGTGAAGTGTGTGTATCAGTGGCGACCCTGAAGGTTAGAGCCGAGGCGCAGTATTGTGGGGGAACGGGAACAAAATGGTATTTGCATGGCATTGAGTTTAGTCTAGTAAACATCTTATTACTGCGATTTCTTTTTGTTGTAACCCTCTTTAAATTCATTAATTTTACAGAGGAAATAACGAAAAATGGTAGAAATACACTTTACTAATCATTAGCAAATGCTGAGAAAGATAAATGAGAGAAGAGGCAGATTGACACCAGCTTTTGATGTATCTCTGTCTGCTTAATTGATGTATGCTGTAGCTATTTTGGTCTTTGTGGAGCCCTGCTCCTAGTATTGTAGTCTTTACAGCCTCGGTCCTTTTGCCCAGGGAGCGTTTTTGGAATGAGAATGAGAATGTGGATGAGGGGGCAGGTGTGTGGCAAAGGCTGGGTAGGAAATGTGTGCCCTTTGCCAAAGTCTTTGGAAAAACAAAAATTATGAGTTTTTTAAAAGGACCTTGGGAAAGAATTGCCTCATATAGTTCGACGTAAAAATAGTCTTTGCTTCTGGGTGCTTTGAGACTCTAAAGTACAATTAGCCGTGGAGTTAAGGCAAGTACCCCACCTGGGGACTATTGGCTGTTTACCTTTTTAGAACCTTCTCTCTTGCTATTAGATGTCACTGCAGGTAGTGTTTTCACTTCGTTTTGGTATTTTTTGCTGGGAAAAACAAGAGGCACTGTTGTAACTTAAAACTTCTCATCTTTCTATTGGCTTTTCAACGTCCAAAGAAAACCAAGTTGAACCTCTTGTGATGCACCCTCATTGGCTGGTGCTCTCTCAAGCCTGCAAGTCCTTTGACAGGGATTAGGGATCAGTTACATTGTTGTATTGAACTTCTTGGAAGACAAATTCAAACTGTGGTGTTATGAAAAGAAAAGTAAATTTTAGAGAGTGATGTATAAATGTTTAGGATACAGGTTGTAACCTTGGTGTAACTATTAGGAACATCCCAAGAGCAGCAAGTGAGCATGTGGTGTTTTAGACCAGAACACTGAAGCAGAGTGCTCATCCCCAGGGAATGAGCAATAAGAC